GAGGGAGGCAGGGAGGCTGGAGGGGGGAGTGGAGGACAGGAAGGCAGGAGGGGGATGGGGAGGCCAGAGGGGACAGGGAGGCTGGAGGGGACAGGGAGGATGGAGGGGACAAAGAGGCCAGAGGGAGGCAGGGAGGCAGGGAGGCCGGAGGGGACAGGGAGGCCAGAGGGAGGCAGGGAGGCCGGAGGGGACAGGGAGGCCGGAGGGGACAGGGAGGCCAGAGGGAGGCAGGGAGGCCAGAGGGGACAGGGAGGCCAGAGGGGACAGGGAGGCCAGAGGGAGGCAGGGAGGCCAGAGGGGACAGGGAGGCCGGAGGGAGGCAGGGAGACTGGAGGGGGACCGGGAGGCCGGAAGAGCTCTCAGCAGGAAGCGCGTCCTGGAACGCAGCCTTGCTGTGTCCTGACAGGGACTGGGTGTGGTGGGACTGGGACCATCTGCTCACTTCCAGATTCTGCAGCATCTACAGAGTAGCTTCCCCAGCAAGACATGGGTCCAGGCCACGAGTGAGAGGGAAACTGAGGTGTGGGAAAGCCTCCAGAGCACGGCTGTGGAAGCAGGCTCTGACTGAAGACGAGAGGCCGGCTCCAGCCATGGGCAGCTCCGCTGGGGGCCAGGACACCCCCTGGCACCCAGACACAGGTGGGTGGAAGCAGAGGACAGTCACACTCGGCCTGGGGGAGGCTGGAGGAGGCACAGGCGGAGGACAGTCATGGAGGACAGTCACACTCGGCCTGGGGGAGTTGGAGGACAGTCGTGGAGGACAGTCGTGGGGGACAGTCACAATCGGCCTGGGGGCAGCTGGAGGAGGCACAGGCGGAGGACAGTCGTGGGGGACAGTCATGGAGGACAGTCACACTCGGCCTGGGGCGGCTGGAGGAGCATGGGCCGTCTGCTGCTGTGCCACCGTGCGACCTCCCACCCCGTGCCCTGCGGCTGAGATCCTGTAGGAAGGAAATCACCCCCAGCATCCTCTCAGAATCTCTCCTGGTCATCCCCAGATCATACTACGCTCCTGCCGCTCCCAACTCCACCCAGAGGCTGACAATCCAGGTGATGAGAGGAGACAACACAAGCGCAGGCCCCGACCCTCGTTGTCTGCGAGCTACAGGCCCCGACCCTCACTGTCTGCAAGCTACAGGCCCGGACCCTCGCTGTCTGCGAGCTACAGGCCCGGACCCTCGCTGTCTGCGAGCTACAGGCCCGGACCCTCGCTGTCTGCGAGCTACAGGCCCCGACCCTCGCTGTCTGCGAGCTACAGGCCCCGACCCTCGCTGTCTGCGAGCTACAGGCCCCGACCCTCGCTGTCTGCGAGCTACAGGCCCCGACCCTCGCTGTCTGCGAGCTACAGGCCCCGACCCTCGCTGTCTGCGAGCTACAGGCCCCGACCCTCGCTGTCTGCGAGCTGGTGTTAACACCACGGGGTCAGTGAGGGCTGTGCTGCTGGCTCCTGGGAAAGCCCCCCACGCCACCCCCAACACAAACGCACTGGATCTCCCTCTGAAAAGACTAGAACAGGGGAAGGCGTCAATGGTGCCAGTGCCACAGCAAAGCGGATGCTCTCGTTTGTACAGTGGAGACCAGACGGGACGTTATGTGAGGACAAGAGGCGTGTGCCCACCTTCAGCTCAGACACCAGCCCAGGCCTGAGAACGGGGGCGCGACGCTGCCAGGCCGATCTCCCAGCCCAGGATGGCGGGCGCCCCAGCGTTGGGAGCTTCGCCAGGCCTACTGGCCCAGGCTCCGTGCTCCAGGAACCCTCGTAGGCCGTCCGCCCCCTGCTCCGCCAGTGGCCCAGTGACCGCCTGGTGGTCACACCTGCGGGCGACGCCAAAACGCCACAGGCACCAGCCAGGACTGCCGGGCTCTGCCGGCTTGCGTGCAGCTGACTGCCCGGCGGGCCCCGCAGGAGCGGGCCTGGGCCTCCCCGGGGGCACCCACGGGGCACACCAGGGGCCACCGCAGGCCCCGGCAGCCGAGACAGCCCTCCGCCCAGCCTGTGCGGCTGTCCGGTCTGGACCAGGCTTGCAGTTACAAGCAGCCTTGGTGAGGGAGGACCAGGCTGGGCTGGACAAGTTCTTGTTTCTTCAGGACAACTGTGGCTTGGTTCTCTGACGGAAAGGCGACGGGAGCAGGGGCTCACAGCACCAACGGGGAGCACGAAACCACTCACTATTCCTCATGCTCAAACCACCACGGAGCGTGCTGGAAAAGCATCAGCCTCCCTAACCTCCAGACTTCATTCTGGATTGAGATTCTCTCAGACTGCACATTTGCCAGGAATTAGTTTGTTCTCAAAGCTTTAGCTCTCTGTGCTGAACCGAATATCGAATCCAAGTCACGGCATTCAAAGTCATCTCCCACGGCAGTCAGTCATGACAGACCAGGGAAGGTCGTCTGTGCTCTGTCCAGTGTGTCAGACCCTAGCACCCTGGGTGGTCTGGGGCCACCTGTCACCCAGAGTCCAGGCAGGACCCCTCTCCCCACCCCCATCACAGGACAGCGGCCAGCAGGCACACACATCCCTCAGAACCGTGTGGTTCTAAAGGACGTTGCAAAATCACACTGCCAAGACCGCAAACTGCCTAAGCTTTCGATCACATTTAAAAGAATGAAAGAGAAACATTCTCTGACCAAAACCCTGTCACCGTGTTGGCCGTGTGACTGAGGTCGCCGCTCTTCACGCTCCGTGTGGTTGAAGAAGTCAAGCACACACACCTCTTGACCGGTGGCTGTGCTGAGATTTCACGAGCGCTGAGATTGCAAAGCCTGAGCAAAACCAGTGTGCGCAGCTCGGTAGCATCCGGTGCACTGGCCGTGCGGGGACAGCCAGTCTGGCTCTGGGACATTCCCTCCACCCCAGAAGGAAGCAGCCACGCTCGGCAGGCGGCTGCTCCCACGCGGGGACGCCTGCCCACACAGAGGCAGCCACACAGCTTGCACAGGGAGGGTCTCACCGTCCGTGGCCCTGTCCTCACAGCACACTACTTCAGTCACTTTAAAAGGGGACACGCGTGGTGGGGGATGGCTTTGCTGAATTCTGCGTGCAGAGGAACGCTGGAGAGGAACAGGGATGCTGGGGGAGGGGAAGGCTGCTCCCACAGAGATCCGCATCGCCAAGGTGACCCCACACCCAGCGCTCTCCAGGGGCAGCGCCTCCTCCCTCGGGACCCCTGTGCAGCAGAGCAGCGGCGCCCCGGGATGCACCCGCGGGACCCGGTGTGGTGCTCACGGGTAGCCGTCCATCCACACCCACACCGGTGCCTCCGTGCTGAGGAGCTGCCGCAGCCCTCGGCATTCTGCCCACGCAGAGAACGCGGGCGTGACGGGAAGGTCCCGGTGGACGCCGCCTCTGCGCTCCCACGGCCGCTCCGAGGTCAGCACTGCCACGGTGGCCCCACAACTCAGAGATCAGGAGCGGCTTCGGCGGTCATCTTCTGCCAGGCCAGAGCTTGTGGGTGAGCCTGGATGGGCACAGTGCTGGTGGGAGACCGCATGGCACCGGACAAAGCAAGGCCTGCTCCTCGTGGGCCACAGCCCAGCGCGCGAGGCCGCCTCTCACTGTGTGCTGGCAGCAAACGAAGGCAGATGCTGTAAGTCATTGCCCACTTGTTACTCTGAGAAAAATGAGAAGGTCTTCTCGCATAAACACAGTTCCCTGTCGTCCATGAGGCCAGAGGCGTGACAAGAGGCCAGCAGCGCAGGGGCTCCTCCCCAGGCAGGGGCGCCCGCTCTCCCCAGACGGGACCCTCCTCCCACCCCGTCCCAGAACCTCAGTGATTACCTGAGCTTCCCGTGACAACAAAGAAGGCCACGGCGGGAGGGACTGAACCCCCTTTCACAGCAGACAGGCAGACAAGTCATAAACAGGACATCTCGGAGGGGGGAGTTTGGTTGGCCCCTTGTGGGGGAGCCAGTAGGGTGGGAGCCACCTCAGTGATGGGCTGGCCCTTCAGCTTTCAGTCCTGCAGCAGGGAGGTCGGTCACAGGCATTCGTGGCGGCTACCAGTGGCGCTGGGCACACTGAGGTGATGCTGCCGTCACCAAGTCCTTTTCTGTGTGGGTGACCGTGAGTGAACCACAACCAAGCCATGCCAGGCTGTGTCCAGTGCAGCGGTGCCAGGTGCCAGCTAAGCCCTGGGGGAGACCCTGTCCACGCGCCATCTGCAGGCGTTCCTCACGTTGCTGACCACGGGAGGGGACAGGACAGCAGCCAAGCCCAGGTGACCATAGTCTAGAGCGGGAGCCTCCACCTCCCAGCGCTGCTGAGCCCCTCAGGAGGAGGAGGGGTGGAGTGCTGGCCAGAAGCAGGCCCCAGGCCCTTGGCCCGGCCCTGCCCCCCGGCCCGCAGGGCACTCTCCCCAGCCACGGCACTGAAGACCAAACGTGTCCTAGTGCAGCGTGGGCCAGGGCAAGTCCCGGCAGAGGAGGGTCACACAGAGACAATGTGCTCCCTGCACAGAGGTGTGTGTGCACACGCACATACAGACGCAGACTCCCTGCACAGAGGTGTGTGTGCACACGCACATACAGACGCAGACTCCCTGCACAGAGGTGTGTGTGCACACGCACATACAGACGCAGACTCCCTGCACAGAGGTGTGTGTGCACACGCACAACAGACGCAGACTCCCTGCACAGAGGTGTGTGTGCACACGCACATACAGACGCAGACTCCCTGCACAGAGGTGTGTGTGCACACGCACATACAGACGCAGACTCCCTGCACAGAGGTGTGTGTGCACACGCACATACAGACGCAGACTCCCTGCACAGAGGCACGTGTGCATGCGTGTGCATACACACACGCACACGCGCACACACATGCACTCTGCTGCCTTGTGGCTAGGCCCCTGGCCCCATGGTCTACCTGTGGGTCCCCAGGGAGGAAGTCACGGTTGAGGCTACCCCGGTGTTCTCCTTCCTAACCACCGATGCCTACAGAAAATGCACAGGTGTTGGCGCATCTGACCTGTTTCCAGATTCTCCAACCTTAGAGAAAGGATGTTGGAGACACTTTTGTTGGGTTTTGTGGTGGCTTTTTTGTTTTGTTTTGTTTTTTTTGGGTCCGGTCCTGGGGCCTGAACTCTGGGCCTGGGCGCTGTCC